GTGCTCGGGCCTGGCGACTGCCATCCCAGCGCAGCACTGGCCACCGTGGGCTGTGGCTGGGAGGGCTTGCTGGCCGGAGGAGCAAGGTGGACCTTCATCCCTCTGAAGGCATTGTTTGAAAGAAAGACTTCTTATTAATCTCGCGGTGCCACTGCCGCCGAGTGCAGGCAAGATGTGAGGCGCCCACCTCGACCCTCCACTCAGGATTTACGGAGAGATGGCAGTTTTGTTTTGTTTTTAAATCACCAAGTAGTAAGGGCCCCCCTGACTCGATTGTCTAATCTGATAACCCTCTTTCTTAACCTCAGTGTGGGGTAGGGTGCAAAGCTTTGGAAAGATGCCTGGGGAACCCAGGAAGCTGTGGGCTCACTTGGCCAGATGGCGCCCGGCAGGCGGCGTCCAGACGCAGCAAACTTCTCAGGACTTTTCGCCGCTCCCCGCCCCCGCCCCCCCAAACCCCTGTGTTTCAGCCTAGGCCTTTGGGCTTCCTGAGCTGGACTGCTGGGTGGGAGCAGGGGGGAGTGTGAGGTGCCCTGGCCTGGGGAGGCCGGAGAGTGCCGGGGCTCCAGGTACCAGCAGCATACTCTCATGTCGCCCTTCCCTAGTTTCCGTTTCCTGGCTCAGAGAGGTACACTGCGTGCCTGCTCTCCTTGCCCGCTGAGCTGTGCCAGCTTCAGGCAGTCACACACACACACACACACACACACACACACACACACGTCGTTAGGACTTATTGCTTGGGACCCCGATTTGGGGTAGTCCTCAAAGATGTCAACCCCAGGCAAGTGTTGGGAGTGCCAGCCTCCCCTCACTCCTAGCAGACGCTGTGAATTTCCAACTCAAGTCTCCATTTGCCATCCAAGCTAAACTGCAGAACCATGGGAAGCAAGAAAGGGGGCTGAGGCCCAGGGCTCAGTCCCAAAGCTCCTGGGTACAAAGTATGTCCAGCTCAGCCCAACCCAGCCCACCTTCTCTCCAAAATGGAAGTCCTCAGGGACCTGTTTGAAGTGTTAGGCTTCACCGCAGGCCTTGCGGTCCATAGCCCAGTGCCTCCACCCCCAGGCTCTGGGGGGCTCCTGGGTCCCTGGGTTGGCGGTGGTTTCAGATAGCCTGGAGTCCGCCTGGTGCAAAAGCCACTCTGCCCCAGTAACTCCGCTGACCCATCACAGGGCGGGCTCCTAGGCACTGCGAAGTTTTCGGACATCTTCTTAAACGACTTTTTAAAAAAGTTTCTCCCGACAGTAAGATTTCGTGCAAAAGGATGCTTTTCAATATGCGCTCCGTGCTGCGAGTGGTAGCCAGCCAGACTCCCCAGTGTGATACATTGAAATGCCCACCTCAAGAACTTCGTATTACACAAAAGGTGAAGGATAACAAAGAAAATCATTGTATAAGTCGATGGATTTAAAATAATACCAGGACTTTAATCCAAGCCCCCTGTGTCTCTGTGAAAGAACGCCGGCCTTTAGAGCAGACTGATCGGGCTTGGGGAGTTATCCTACAGAAGGCTGCGGGCTATGGAAATTTACAAAGTAGAAAATTAAAAGCATCTTCCGCTGTCTGCAAAACGGACCTGGGATCACCACCCCCCAGCACAGCAGAGCCTCCTGCTCCTGATCTTTCCACCGTCACCGGGCGGCATTTTTCTGCGTCTGCTTGTGGCCCCAGTTCTCCGGTGTCCTGGTGGGTTTCACGCCTACAAAAACACATCCCGATTCTTAACTACATCCGACCACCACTCGGGCGTAGTTTTACCCAGTTCCTGGTGTGTGTGAAGTGTGTTGGGCACTGCGTTTAATTCGGGAAATCCTGAGCTGCCCCTCCATTGAGCCCCAGGAGACGCCGATCACTGAGAGCACCACCAATCGGGCCCAGAGAGCTAACTGCTCCTAAGGAAAACCTGAGCGCACTGAACCGAAAGCGAAAGAGGAGGCAGCGGGTTGCTTCCCGCAGTTGGTCCGCGTGCCAGCGGCTCCGAAGGACGCCAGGCCAGGCCCCCCGTGTTGGAAGCAAGAGGGCCGGTGTTTGGTCTCGGGGAAGCTCATCGCTCTTCCGTGAAACGTCGGGTCTCAAAATCGGCGGCGTGTGTCCTGGGGTCTAGGAGGCGAGCTCTGGCTCCCCAGGACGGCACCGACCACAGACCGAAGTGCAGAGGCAGAAGCGCATAGCCGGGCGGGGATTGCAGCAGGCGAGGACAAGGCATGGCAATTTCATAAAACCCGAGTTCTCTACCCTCACCCTCTTTGTACGGATGGGGAAGTGGAGGTCTAGGAGTGGGACTGGGTGTCTGCAGCCACTGATGATTTCTCACTCCCTCTTGGGGTCTGAGCAGACACCACCGGCTGCAGCTGAGAAGGGATGCATTTCTCCTTCTCCGGCTGTGAGATGCTGGCACAGCTGCCAGACCCAAGCAGAGGAGCAATCAGGCAGGGGCAGCGGTGCCTCCAGGCTGGGGTTAGGGAGGCCTCTGAGTCTTGCCTCCAGCTCATCTCATCTCCAAGATCCATGAACTCCAAAGCGGGGTAGGAAGTCCTGGGCTCTGAGCAGCCTGGGGTGGGCCGAGAGCTGGAGAGTCTGGCCCTGCCTCTGCCTCTTCCTCGCCCAGCTCTTGGGCACCAATGTCTGGATGCCTTCTTCTTGAATTGACTCGCTCTCTTAAGTACAGACTCTCATGAGGTGGGAGAGCATCTTTGCCAATGCGTGCCTCAGTTTCCCTGCTTGCAGACTCTAGAGAGTGAACTCCAGGGGCCTTCCTCCCAGAAAGCAGGGCCTCACCTCTAGTTACTCAGTCCTCTCATTCTGAAAAGGCCCAGAACTCATTTCCTGGGCAGGGCAGCCCAGTGGAGAAGTAGAAGTATAAACCTAGCATCTTGGGGTGGTTGAGTGTACCTTTGCCCTGAGCAGCTCCCATCTTAGGCAGCAGTAGGCCCAGGGGGCAGGGGTGGTGGAGGGCTATCAGTGAATTGGGGCTGCCTTTCACTCAACCTGAGGCCCATGCCCCTGCTCAGGGCAGCAGCAGGGACTTGGCCAGCCCAGTTCTTCTAGCCATGAGTTCAGGGTCCCAAAAGCATAGAGGCTGGGGACAGAAGTTCAGTGGCTCCCATTTCGACTCCTGTAAAAGACTCATGGAGACCCCTTTAAGTGTCACCCAGGATGAAGTCCCACTGTGAGTTCGAGGCAGTCCTAGGTCAAGTGGTCAACCCTCGCCCTCAGTTGCACTAGCTATGGCTGAGGGGGCGGAGGGCACTTGGGGAAAGAAGGAGGTACAGGCAGACCCTGGAAGCCTGTCTCTCCCCTTCCCTCTGGGCCTGGAGACACCTGGCATTTTCTAAACAAGGGCTTGGGAACCATTAGAACTCTGCTTTGACTAACACCTGACCAAGCGGAAGGAGTCAATTTCAGAGGTAGTCAATTTCCTTAATCTATGGAAACTCAGTGCTGTGGGTGCAAAATCACAGTCCCCCCTGGCTTTGAACAATAAGCCTCCAGGCACCACCACTCCAATCTGTGACTTACTGGAGAACTCAGCAGCCCCCAAAGGTAGGGACAAGGAGGGGCCTGGGTGATGCCAGGAGGAAGGAGCTGAGTCCAGGGGCCTGTGGACAGCAGCCCTCTGGGAAAACTGGTCTGAGGGCCTGGGGCTGGACAGGCAAGGTAGTGGGATTGAGAAATAGGCCCTGCGGGCTTTCTCCATCTGCCCTGTGGGTTTGGGAGTGTGGGGCTATGTGTGAGGGTCCAGAAGTGTGTGTGACCACATTGGCCCATGAGGTAGATGTGGTGTGTGTGTACTGCAAGTGTAGACAAGCATATGACCTGGTATATTTGTGGGTATAAAGAGCCATCCAGCATGAGCTTGAACCTGCAGAAGAGGGAGTGTGAGCGAGCAGGGGTCATCACAGCTGTTGGGAAGGTTATTTAGCTGGCCAGGCCACTCCATCGAGCATGGAGCAGTAGTGCCGATCTGGGCCCTCTTAGGAAAGGCTCATCTTATTAGGGGCCCAAGACCAAGGCCTCAAATGGACCTCTGGGGCTACCTTTGGGGTGTGTGTGTGTGTGTGTGTGTGTGTGTGTGTGTCTCCGCTCTCTTCCCTTCCAAATCTGAACTCCCCAGTAAATACCGATTCTGTGGATGAAGAGAAGCCCAAGGGGCTCAACCTCAGTCAGCCCTGGGCAGCCCCTCTGATGAAAAGTCGCTGTGCTGTGGGGCCGCAGGCCAGCGTCCTATGGACGCATTCAAGGGGCTTGGAGGTCATTTAGGCCAGCTCCCTCCGGTTCCCTGCAGCTCCAAAGTCTAACCTAAACCCCTCTTCCCACGGCCCCTCTCCGTCTAGAACCCCAGGGCTTCCTGCCACCCCGCCCATTTCTAAACTATTGTTCCGAAACCAGTTCTCTCCGAAGCTAGCAGTGGAAGAGACGCCAGGGCACCCTGCACCTTCCTCCTTCCCATGCGGAGCTGCGCTCCCAGGGACCCGGAATCTGCTCTCCAGGTCCCAGCCATCTCTAGACTCGCAATGGGATTCGGCCGCGGTGCATAGGCTTCAAGTGTGCGCCCCTGAAACTGTGCTCGCTCGCCCTCTCCACACACCCCCTCCCGCACCTGCGATGTTCCCACCTGTGGCACTGCAGCAGGAGCCCCCTGGCCAGAGGGGAACAAGACCCCTGCAGCCCCAAAGCGCCTCGCCGCTGCTCCGGCGCAAGCCGAGAGCCTGTGCGCTACAGCCGGTTCGAAACGGGTCCCGTGGGGAGCGCAAAGCGAGCGGCTTGGGGGAAACAGCGACCAGATCAATTCTAGTTTCAAAGTCAAACGCTGCGCATCTCAGGCCAAGAGGTAGAAGGGGCAGGGCCGATCCCTGGAGCTCCACAGAGCGAGCGATCCCAATTTCCTACCTGAATCAACCGCGGCTCAGCCCCCCGCGCCTCCCCAGCTAGTGAGTGGACTCCTGCCTTCCGGACCCCGAGCCTCGCTCCCCAGCTCCGTGGGGGCCCGCGCGGGCACTCACCGTAGCAGGGGACCTGCAAGGCCGCGTTGTGACCGCCGCTGCCTTCCGGAAGCTTGAGGCTGCCGTCCGGGGGCGTCTTGCAGGAGCCTCGCTGCAAGTAGAGGTGCGGCTGCTGCGTGGGCGCCTGCGGCTGCGGCTGGGGCTGCGGCTGGGCTGGCGGCGGGGCCGGCGGTTGCGGCTGCGGCGGGAACTTGTTAAAGGAGCCCCGCGGCCCGGCGCCACTCTCCAGGGGGGGCGCCAGGTCAGGCTGCCCCGCGCCGCCGTAGCGAGCCCTGCTCTTGGCGTCCCCGAAGCCTTGCCCTTTGGCGGCGGCGGACAGAAAAGTGGAGCCGAACTTGTCGCCGCCGGGGAATGCCCTAAAAGGCGACGAGCCCTCCCGGCTCTGCGACACCGGGCTGTAGTAGGCGTCCATGGTAGCGGCCGGCGACTCGCAGTACGAGACGCAAGTCTCAGCATTCATGCCTGGCGTGCGCGGGCGGCGGGTGGGGGTACGAGCCGAGCGCGAGGACGCCGCCGCGCGCCTTGGCCGGGAGTTTGGCGAGGCGAGGAGGCGGTGGCTGTGCGCTCCGCTGGCCCGCTAGCTCGCTCCCTCCTCCCCTTCCACGCCCGCCTCTCCCCCCTTCTCGCCTCCCTCCCCACAGCTGGCCCAGAGAAAAAGCGGAGGGCTGTAAAAAGATTCAGATGTTTCGGAAAGTTGACCAGATCTCCCAAACCCACTTAAGGTTTTGAAGGGCGAGGGTAGGGTATGGTGGGGGGGAGTTTTTTTTTCCTTTCCCTCCCCTGACTTGCTCCTTCCTTCTCCCCACCTCCCTCTATCTCCCTACTCTCTCGGCTACCACCCCTGCCCCTCCTCCCCTCTCTCTTAAAGAGTGGCCACTAACTCGCTAGCGGCTGGATTCCACCCGGAGGCGCCTTAGGGCCTTTCCGATCCCAGGCGGAGCCGGGGAGGTGCCCGGACTCCCCCCACTCGGGGCTCCCAAGGCTCCGTTCGGAAATTGGCTAGCTCCAGCTTTGGCCTGGGGACGAGGGGCGGGGTTGCGCATACAACATTTTAGTGACTGGTTTAAAAACCAACCGGTTTTGACATCCGTTGGCCTCGGGTGCCTGCGAGTCGCTGGGACCCTTCTGCACCGACTTGGCGACGCAGCTGTTGGGACGCAGGCTTCCCACGATACCATTTCCTCGTTCCCAACGCCTCCCCTGTTCCAACAGGGAGTTTTTACACCCGCCGCTGTCGCCCTGGGCAGGCCATCTTTACATCTTGTTCATGACATCCCCACCCCAGCCCTCCTCCATCCAAGGACCTTTAACAGTCACGGGGAGGGGGCGGCCGGGGAGGGGCCTGTAGGCACCCAACCTTACGGAAGCCCTGGGCTGGGCCCAGCTCTTGCCGCTTTAGAGCGTTTCCCTCTCGCCTCCCTCCAGGGGCAGGGTCGCGCACATCGCACGCAGGCGACTTTCTGGCTGGTAAAGTTGGAAGAGAGGAGTTCAGAGACCTGCTAGCCTCGCCCTGTCGGCGCTGTCACCTGCTCACCGTGAGGCACAGTCTTTGCCCACGCTGGCCTTCTTGTCCCCAACTAGGAACAGAAAGGCTTGGGTTTCACGGCTGCAATTTCAGATGCCTTTTACTTTCACTAAGGGTCTAGCAAGCTAGTTAGTCATTGCTTGTGCCCACAACTCTGATGGCTGGTGCCTGGGCCACTCCCACCCCCTCCACTCTCCTACGAGGGAGCAAGAGGAGACTCAGAGAGGTGCAGTCACCTGGTCGAGGTCACACAGCTAGGAAGTAGCACCTCTGGGGCTTGGAGCCCCACTAGACGCTAGTCGCTTCACGGACAAGCGACGCCGACCTGGAACATCGCCAGGGGAAAATAGCCGGGTCTTGTAACCGAGTCTTGGGCTGCGGAGTGGCTGCAGATCGGAGGAGATCAGTTAGAAAAGCGTGCACGAAACCACAGGGAAAATCCATGGATCAAGGACATGCCTCCAGGGAGCTGCAAGTGCCATGAGAGGGGAAGGGAAAAAGAAAGCGGGACCTGATTGCCCGAATCTAGGAACGTTAGTCCATCAAGGGCACCCAAGGCTCCCCAAAGGGAAAAAGTATCTGGGGCTTGTGCTTCTACCCACAACCTCATCCGGCCTAACCCTCGCCCCTGCTCTGCCCTTGGTATCCCTGGCCCTTGCTGGCCGCCGACCTCACACTCCCACATCTGGTTCCCATTGACTGCTTACCTTGAAGTGCTCGTTAATAAAGATATTCTGCAAACCATGCAGGCCAGGGGCCCCGAAAGCCGCGCCCCACCCCCACCACTCATTGGGACCTGCACCTCTGGCTTAAACCACGTGAGCGCTAGGGTGCTAAAACCAGCTGTGCAGGGGGTTGGCTCCTTCTCCCCAGCTTCCAGCAAGAGTCTGAGGACAAAGGCATTATTTCCATACCCATTCTACAGATGGGCACACCGAGACTCAAACAGCCCACAGTGCGGGGGTAGGGGAGTGGAAGGGGGGGCTGCTATCTTTCTAAATGTCCATGTCCCGCCTAAGTTTTCCCTCAGTGCTCAGAGCCTGCCTGTGCACATTGCAAAGGTGGGTTTCCTCCACCAACTGGGAATCCCTCCAGAGCTACCACACCCCCACACTGGGCTTTTGTCTGACTAAATCTTTAGGCTTCCTCGGAGGGGGTCTTCCCCATCTCTCCTAGCCCTAGGAGTCATTTCCTGCTCCGTTGTCCCAGAACGTGTCTCTCTGGTTCCATGCCTAGCTGCCTTGTTCTCTGCCTTACTACTGGGAGACTTCCGGAGGGCAGCTGGCAACACAGCGGGTCACCCAGCACATATTTGCGGAGGCAACACAGCGGGTCACCCAGCACATATTTGCGGAATACAAGATTAAGGTCATTGGATTTAAAGCCCTTGGTTTCTTCCACTGCCCAGAGAGAGTTTGGTTATCTGGAGCCGAGGCCAATGGGTTTCCAGGAATCCAGAAGAAAATTAAGAGTGTCCGTGTGTCTCCCACATACTCTCTCCAGGCCTGTGCTGCTCCGAAAGCAGGGGTCAGGAAGCTCATCCTGTTCGAAGGAGCCTGACACATAGCAGGTGCTCATGAAAGTGTGGTTTCCTAGGGCTTTGGAGGCTTTTTGACCAGAGAAGAATTGACAAATCACTAGGGTTAGAAGCTCCCGGAAGCTGCCTGCAGGCACCCAGATAGTGATGCCACCCTTCCCCTGTTCCTGATTTAGCTTGAAGGGAAAGCCCTGCAGGAGGGGATACCCTGGGGGGCGGGGGGAGTGGAGAGTTACTCAGGGCAGGTAGAGTCTCATCCTCCAGTGCCCCTGTGCCATGAGTGCTCTGGGCAGAGAAACTGTGGCCCGTCAGCTAGCTGAGCATGTTGCTTCTCCACCATATCTAGCTCCTGCTCTTCTGACCAACTACCTGTCCTTGCAGCGGCCCCACCCATCCACCCACCTGTGTCCAACTGTCCTTGAAATGTAGGAGCGAGGGCTTGCAGGAGAGAACCTGCAGGGAGGTTGCCTTTGTCTGGGCGTGGACATTGTGCGTAGGTCCTTGAAAGTGAGAACAGCCCTTTGGAAAGCACTCTTCCGGAAAGGGCAATGGTAAGTGTGCAGCTGGCTACTCTGGTGTGTGTTTGAGCACTCGCTCCTTCAAGGGCACATCCATTCACCCCTCCGACCATAGCTGAAAGCCGAGCTGCTCCTAACCAGTTCCTCCAACAGATTGCAGGATGCCCTCTCCGTGGTCTAGCGACGCCTTCAAGGGTTGCCATTCTAGAGCAGGCTCTGCGCTGTCAGGTTTGTTCTTGCTCCTACAGCTAAGGGCTGCCCTTAGCTGGCTGTCTCCCTCTGGCGCAGTTGCTGCCACCCCTGAACACCCCAGGCAGAGGGAGAGCACCCCAGCAGGCTCTCTGCTAACCAGGAGTGGGCCTGCCATGGGGTGGGGGTGGGGTTCCCTCCCCACTGCTGCTTCCAGAGCTGGCCCCTCCCCTCCTGGATGCCTCCCCATCCCTAAGGGGGAAGCTCCCAGAAGCACCAGGCAGAGGGAGAGGGGGTGTGTGGGTATGGGGGAGACAGTCTTTTTTCAAGACCATGGGCATTGTCGCCTCCTGGGGACACTTTCCATTACCACCTTAACTCTACTTGTCACCTTTACCCGCTTATTTCCCCCACATCTTTGTGATCTGACCCATTTCCCACCTCTGCTCCCACAGATCTAGGTTGATTTATTGTCTTTCTACTAGAACTCTTGGTGATGGGAATGAATGAATGAATGAATGAATGAATGACTGGCGGGCCATCGTTCAGTCCCTCTGCAGCAGGGCTGGAGTTATCCAGGCAGCGCCCGCGGGTGGGAAATTGAATCGGTGTGAGAGTCCCAGAGGGGAAGGGATACAGAAGAATCCATGCCAGCCACGCCCTTCGGGTCTCTGGCCCCTCTTCATTCCCGCTGGGCCTGAAAAACCGCGGAGCTCAGAGAGGGAGCGACCGGTGCACACCAACCTACAGCGAGCCGTCAAGCACGCTTCCACTCCGCGGGCGGACCTGGAAGCTGCATCGGCCCCGCGGCGCGTGGATACCGCCGAACTTCTTGCTGTCGCTCTAGAAGCAGCAGGAGGCTAGCACAGGGCTCCGAAGTTAGGAGCTGCGAAAAAATTTTCAGGTAGAAGGGGCGAGGAGGGTCACGAGAAAAAGCAAGAGGCCTTGCTGCAGCCGCGAGACATCTAGAGAAACCCCGCTGCCCGGAACCAGCATCCGAACAATGTGTTGAAATCTTTGCCCGCCGCTGCAGACTCATAGCGACGTCCTACGGCAGAGCAGAGCCGGCGCGTAGGGTTTTCTAGACTATAGACTTTATAGAAGCAAATCACCAGGTCTTTATCTTGCAAGCCTTTCTCCCATAGAACCGCTGATTAGGTTTGACCCATCAATTTTTTGGTAAGCGGCCGAGCACGTGACCGTATTTGTTTATCCTTCAATGACGTTTTTTTTTTTTAATGGACAGAAAGTGAAGTCATTGTTCGTGGTCACATAGCGAATTGAAGGTCCTGGGATTTGAACTTGGAACTCACTCTTCTCCCTTCTCCCCCCAACTTCTCCCGCGTGCTCTGATCATGAAGCGACTTCCGACTGGAAACTCCCATTGGCCTGCAAGGTTGGCGGAAACGCTCCCAGTTTGCTCCGTGCCGCTCCGGGCGGCCGCGAGTGAGGCCCGCGTGGCCCGACCTCCCAACCAAACCTACCTTATGCTGCCACCTGGGGGCGGGGACCCAGGCCGAGCTGCGAGCTGGGCGCCAGCGCTCCGGACTCCGGAGGCACCCAGCTGCGGCAGACCCCATCCCTTCTCCCCCAGCGTCGCCTTTCCAATTCTGCTGAGCCCAACGCTGCCCACGGGCAGCAGGCCGCGTCCCTGGTCTGAATGAAGCTGTGCCCAGCGAATTCCCTCCAGATGTTCCCAGGTCTGGGCGCGAGAGATCCTGGGGATCGAGAGGCTGAAGTACGCCCAGATTCCCAGTAGGGAGCCGGTTTGAGCTCGGGAATAGGCCTCTTGGGAAGAAGCGGTGGGGGAGGGCAGACGCAGAGGGCTGCGTGGCCCCACCCCGCAGCAGGATCTGCATCCCAGACTTAGAGGACCAGCTGTTCCGGGGCTCTGGCGTTCCAGGATTCACCTGCACACATCTGTCTGCCCTGATTCGCCATAGGCATTCCGTCAGCTCACCCTTACCCCCTTACCCTATACTGTGGGTAAGGGGTCAGAGAGACAAGGGGTCTCAAGGAAAACCTCATTGGGACCCACCCTCGTTTATCAGGGACTAGCGCTTGACCCTGTCTGTCTTAGTAGAGTGTTGGTCGTTCACACGTTCTGTCTTAACACAGGGATGGAGGCTAAAAAAATAAAAAGAGCACGCCAATCTCGCTTCACCAGGGATGCACACTCGTGTCCATGCGTGGTTGCTTCCGGATCTCTCTCCCAGTTTTAGAGGTGCTGAGGCACTTTGCCGCGGCTCGGCTCTGGGGTTCGGGCCTAGGGTCATGGTTCACTAGGGAGCAAGAGCGAGGTCCTCTGGCCTCCTGCCTGCAAAGGCGGAGGCTAGAGCTCAGCCCGCTGGGTGCAGAGAGAGCTCCGCTGGGCCAGCCTGGTTGGGACTGGGGTCAGGCATCCTGGTGCAAAATCTGTCTTGAAAGTGCTGCCGACGCCAGAGTGCTTTAATTCCCATGGACCCCGGGAGGAAGCAGTTGGATCCGAAAGGCGGCCTCTGGGGTGGGAACCTGCCCACCCCTTACCTATAGATTACAGCCGGAACACAGATCATTCCAATTCACAAGTAATCCCCAGACGTCCTTAGCCAAAACGCCCAGCCAGGTGTTTGGCCAGCAGCCCCTGCTTCTTCGGTCTTTTCTCCTGTCCCATCTCCCTTATGGCTTCAAAAAGGGGCTGCAAGAGACTGGCAATCGGGAAATGAAGGCCGTTACTGCCTCCCAGAGGGTAGAGAAGCCCTAAGGCAACTTCTGGTCAGAACAGTGGTCTACCCTCAGGGCTGCCCTGGCGTGAGCCTGGAACTTCTCCGCCCAACCTCTTAGCAGAAAGGGGTCTGGGCGGGGCTTCAGAGGTGGAGGGAAGGGTAGAGGGGAGCTGAGGGTCACTCTCTTTGTGTGTCTGCAGAGGTTTCAGACTTTCAGCAAGGTGTCAGGGAGGTCCCTGGTCCCCAGAAGGCAAAGACCCACTGACGTGGCCAGAGCTGCGCTCACCTCAGTCCTCTCGGTTCCCTCAGACCTGCCCCTCACCCCCTACTAGCCTTCTCCCCAAGAGAGGCCTGCATCCCTACCCTGTCTGGTAGGGGGTGGTCTTCCCATCCCTCCACCTGGGAAACCCGCTGGAGACCCGGTGCAGTAAAGGTCTGAAGATGGCAGGAGAGGGCTGGCCTCCTGCTTCTCTCCAGCTAGAGGGACCCTCGCCCAAGTCTTGGGTCCTTTGGCCCTTCTCACCCCCAAGCCAGGGTCCTTGCCCACAATGCCAGCTCCCTGGCCACCCATCACTCCCTCTTCCTTCCCACAACCCAGTGCCCTGGCCTCCGGGGTCTTTCTCCTCTATGGTTTCAGTTCTACTTCCACTTGCTCCGCCTGCCCCCCACCTCACCACCTTGCCCCAAAGGTCTGTGGACAGCCACTGGCAGCTGTGCTGACCCCAGCTCCAATCCCCCTGCGGCCTGTCCTCCTGGCCAGGGGGTGGGGTTGGGGGGAGTTCTGAATTCTCTCTAGGAGAAAGTAGGGCTGAGGAGTCAATATCTGAGATATGGGGAAGCCTTTGGGATTGGAAACAGTGAGGGAGAGAAGACCCCATAAAAACGCCCTGTCGAATCTCCCCCGCCCCAGTTGACGAGTTTCAATGGACTTGATGGTGATGTGTTTGGCTCTCTGACACAAGAAGAGCCTAGCTTTAGATTCAGGGTCGGATCGCATGCCTGCAGTTTACTGGATGTGCAATGTCTGCTAAGTCACATCCTTCTCTGGCCTCAGTTTCTTGTAAAACGGGGGCCATGACAGCAGTTGCTTCTGGGAGTGAGGGGAAAGACTGCAGAAATTAACTGAAATCCTGTCCACTTTTGTTCCTTCCTGGTAGCAGGAACGCTGGATGTGGAATGGAGTATGGCTCGGAATGACCCTCTCTGACAGATAGAAATGCCCCTGTCCCATCGAGTGTGCTAGGTGACGATCCTTATGCAGGAGGTCTCCTGGTCTTTCCTCTCAAGGCAAAGTGGAGGTGGGTACAAGCTGATGACGCTCTGTTAGCAGCCCTGGGCTTACCCATCGCCTCTCCATGGCTCCCCGCCAGTGCCAAGACCCTCCCTTCACCCCGAGCCTGCTACTTTAGACATCACTGCCTCTGCTTAAAAGGGGTTCAGAAATAAACACTTGGGGTGCTGCCCTTCCACTTTGGGGAAAACAGATCATAGTCACTCTCCTTTCCTGCCCTTGGTCAGGGTTCTTTCAAAGCCCCAGGAGGAAATAACTCAACCCACTGCCATGCGGTGGATGCTGACTCACAGCAGCCCTGTAAGTCAGGGTAGAGCTGCCTCCGTGAGTTCCCAAGACGGTAAAAGTTAGATAGCCCCATCTTTCTCCATCCAAGTGGCTTGGTGGTTTTGAACTGCTGACCTTGTTTATCACTACCCAATGGGTAACCATTATACCAACCACCAGGTGGAGGGGGGAGGGAGCTCCTGGAGGGACAAGGACAAAGGAGACCGTAGACCTGAGACTCCAGCCATGGGTCAGTGAAGGTGGGCAGCAGAGGGGACATGGGTGGTACTGATGGTTTATAGGGAGGAGGGTACCTGGAGCCGTTCAACTCCAGCTCCGCGGCACCTTACAGTTCAGACTGGCTTTTTGTATCTTTCCATTTTCAGTTAAGCTCCCATTGCCCTAAGGCTTAGGGTCCTTGGTCCCTGGCCTGAAGTCGAAGTGAGCAAGGGGCCCTTGTCTTTGTCCCCACGGCACAGAGTTCAGGGGCCTCAAATGGGCAACATCTGACCACAGCACCCCTTGTCAGCCTTCCCATTTCTGGGAGAAAGGGTTCCCCCATCCCCCACCTGTAGTGGGAGGCACCCTGAGCTGCCCGGTCAGGAGGCTGTGGCTGATGGGGAGGAGGGATGGGGGTTGGAAGGTTGGGGAGTGGTCAGGGCCACAGAGGATAGTGGAGAGAGGCTTGGCACAGTGCCTGGCACAGAATGGGTGGTTAGCAGGTAGTGGTGGTGGTGGTAGGTACCCACCAGCCTTCTCCACCCTCTGCTGCTGGCCTCTGGGAACATAGTTGTCCTCTCTCCCATCTGCCAGAGATCTTTCCTTCACCGGGAACTGAGAGCCATGTCCAGAGCTCAGAGCTACAGAGTTAGTTGTCCGCAGCCTGAGGCCCCTCTCCTCTGGCCACCTCTCGGCTGTGGGCAGCTCTGAATGCGGAACTGAGGGTGCAGGTGCAGGGCAGCCCAGCAGTCCCCTGACTTCTATCCCTTGGGGGGAACGTCTGGCTCAGGCTCCTGGCCGGGAGGCTGAGAGAATCCATGTGAAAAACCAGAACACCCAAATCTCCGGTGGCTTTGGGCTCCTACCACTGCTTGGGGACAGGGGTGAGGACCCCCAGAGGCAGGTGGTTAGTGGTGACCCCAGGCAAGGGTTTGGGTCCCATGCCCCGGGCTATTCACCCACCCTCTTTCTGAGCCTAAGGGAGACAGGACCAGACCACCAGACACCCAGACACAGGACGAGGCAAAGTCTCAGAGCTGACGCTGGAACCAATTTTGATGGGAGAGCCAGGATCCCAGTCTCCGGGAGGTGCTCCCCTCAGCTGAGTTCTTGTCTGCCTTGCCCTCCTCTTGGCCAGCACCAGACCCCTCCCTGGTATCTCGAAGTGGAATTCGTCCCTAGTTTTCTAAAGGGTAGGGTGCTAGCTACCAACCCTACCCCACCATCTGTGGACGTCTCCATCTTGGGCCACTAAGTCTCCTTTCTGTGCTCCAGAGAGATTGTGTCTATCTCCTAGGAACATCATGGGCACCCTGGTGGCTCCATGGATCAGCTGCTTGAGCAAAGGTTGGCAGTTCGAGCCCACCAGCTGCCCTCCGGACGAAAGGGATCACAGCCCATGTGATCTGCATGGGGGAGTTCTATTCTGCCATCACACAATGACCAGTGAGTTCAAATCCACACTGGCATCCGCTTTCTCATCACCGGCTCTCATTCTGACCTGGGACTTGGCAGGCTTGGCGCCTGCAGCTGCCCTGACCTGGCGTCCTGGGGTGTTGAGGCAGCGTGTGGCCAGGTTTCTGGAGTCCTTGGTCTTGCTGAGAGTCCGGCGCGCTAAGCTGCCCCTGTCCCATGGTCCCACCCTCCAGACTGAAGCGTGGGCCAACTAGATCATTTTGTGATTCGTCTCCTTAGCAATGCTCCCCTGGCCTTTCCCTTGAAGTTCTTCGGGGCGGGGGCCGGGGGGTGGGGTGCAGGTGAGCTCTGCTACTCAAGGCTCCTAAAGCAGTGGCAGGTGTCTGCCGCTTTTGTTCATTTTAAGCTTGCTTCATCCCTCAGAGCTGGGTTGCACTGTATGTGTGTGGGATGGGGGGGTGAGGGGGGGAGACAGGGATGCCCATCCAGGTAGACTGTCTCCTTCAGCAAACTTTTCAAGCCTGTTTGAAAAGGGACTTCCCAACTGAGGGGCGAACTTGATCCCGCCCTAGTGGGACAGAGGAGGTGGCGATGGCAGTGGGTTCTTGCGGAGTGGATTTAGATTTGAGGCAGCCCCACCTGAGAGGAGAGCTGCCCCCAGGAGCTGCCTTGACTAATTTTCCTGGAAGAAGATCACCAGGTCTATGTGCCTCAGGTGGGTTGGCAATGCCAACCTTTTGCTTAGTGGCCAAGCACTTAGCCATCTGTGCCCACAGAGCTCCTTAAGGAGGGGATAGTGCAGTAGACACCCCAGCGCTCTGTGTGTGTGTGTGTGCGCGCGCGGCGAACAAGGGGTGTGTGTGTGTGGAGAGAATCTGGACAGGAATTTAGAGAGCCAGGCAGAGGCAGCAGGCTTCTCCAGATGACAGGTACAAGTCCCATCTTCTCTCTCTCTCTCTCTCTCTCTCTCTCTCTCTCTCTCTCTCACGTACACATTCCCATCTTCTGGGGCCTCTCTCTCAATGGCTCTTTACTTTTCAGGGGAGCCAGGTCTTTGATACTCTGTTAAAAGCTGAGGCCCCTTTCCCCAGAAATATGCAAATCAGTGGGAGGCGGGAAGAGGCTGAGAGAGAACTGCCTAGCAAAGTAGCACCAGCAGTAACAAAATAGCCTAGGAACAGCAGCAAGCCGGTCTCTCCTTGTTCTGAAGGTGGGACCCGAGGCTCAAGGCGAGAAAGGAAGACTCTCCCCGCTCCCAGCTCCTGGCGACCCCAGGGTCCCTCAGCACGGCCACATGGCCATCTTCTCAGGGTCTTATCCTAGGGTGCACAGAATTGATCTAGGATGATCTCCTCTGGAGTTCTTTAATCTCTTCTGCAATAAGGGCACTTTCTCAGGGACCAGAGGCTGGGCCCTGGGCATACCATTTTGGGGGGTTCACTGTTACACCCTCTAGTGGTGTGGGCACTGCACTTGGAATCCAACAACCAGGTGAGGACCGGCACGTTTTAATGCAGGTGGACGCATTGGCTCCTGTTCTAGGTGTGGCTGATAGGAATCCCACTCTCCATGGTCTGTTCATTAAGGAAAGGCCACACCCACATTTGGTAAAAAGGAGAAAAACCGAGTCTACCATGCTGCCTGTGGGATACCATCTACAACCTCTGAAGAACGTTCCAGAATGAAGACTGGAGACAGACCCATGATGGTCTTTTCACAAAGAAGCCCTTGAAACAAAACAACACAAAACAAAAATGCAGCATCAGCCAGAATCTAACTCGGTGAAAATGGACCAACAGGAAATTTCACCCTGCCTCCAACTTCATAAAGGCACGGTGGGGGGGTTCTGGACTCAGAGAGGCCTTTTAAGAAAATTGCAACTTTTAGTCTGAGCCTGAGGGTGATGGGAAGTGGAGAAGATCATCACACCGCTGGGTGGATTCTCCTGTGGTGGGGAAGGGGGAGGAGAGGTAGATGGCAGAGGGGGTGACTTGACTGGTCCCAGATCCAGGGGACTGGACAGCCCCAAAGATAGGAGTGACAGCTTCTCGGCTTCATCCCTAGGTCACCACCTGTGTCCTTCCCGTGGATGGGATTTATAGAGTGTAACATTTTAATAAAAAACACACACACCTCCCCATTTGGGTGCATTAAGAGATTTCTAGCAAAACACTGTAATGTTGCTATAAATTTTTCTCCCAGCACCCTCACAAGTAATAACTCAGCTCTGGCATTCTGCATTTAATGTTTATTTTGATGGCCGCATTCCAGCCAGAGTGGAGGCTCCGGGCAGGGAGGGGTAGGGAGAGAAGAGGGGAAAATGCCCCCACTCCCCTGGCCATTAACTGTGTGTTTTTAATAAAGCCCTCACAAATTGGGGCGCCAACACTGGGAGAGGAAGGAGGGAAATCGTGACACCTTATCAGGAAGCGCCGGTGGCCTCCACTCTAGGAAGTAGTGGGATGAGGCCTTGGCTGGGACCTGCCACTATGGCCCCCAGAGGGTCCCTGGAATGTCTCTTTGCCTTTGCTGAGGGTTTGGCCTGGGAATTCCCTTCTAGGGTCGCTCTGAGTGGGAATCAACTTGCTGGCAGTGTTTGGCTGGTTTGTGAGGCACGGCTCCAGCCTCATCTTCTAGAAGGTTCCCCACACCCTTTCTCTAAGTGTCCTTTCCCCAAACAGCAGCCACTCCATGCACTACAATCTTTGGGTGGCACGGATTCAGGCAAAGAGACCAAATGAATGAATGAATGGAGGGGCCCAGGCAAAGAGGCCGAATGACTGAATGGACTTCCGGCAAGGGTGCTGAAGGAATGGATGGGTGCACTCAGGCAAAATACAGGTGAGGGAGGGAGGGGACAAAGAGAACCGGCGGGAGCATTCTGTCACTTCATCTCCACTTCGGCCATGTCTTTCGGGAGTGGTTGATTATTCCCTCTCTGGAGAAAAGGATTCAAATCATTAAAACTCAGAGGGAAACCAAGTCACAGCCCCGCTTCCACTCAGTGCTGCTGTTCAGTGTCGCAGCTACTCTCCGCCAAGGCCACCAGCTGAAGCGTGACGGCCAGAAGAGCGGTCATTAGTTGTCAGGTCATGGAAGCCTGTCTTCTCCTCTGCTTCCAGGTAGCAATGGAAGGGAAGGACCCCTTGGCAGGTGGGATGCTGCTCCAAACTCTTCAAGGTCCGTAGGCTTCCAGGAAGGCTGAGGTGAAGGTTCTGCATCCCCATTCCTTGGGCCGGAGCAAGGGGTTCCCCGGGACCTTCTAGCCAGCAGCCTCCACTTCTTGGGAGCTCACAGACCCCCCCTTACATGTATGTCTTCCCCAGTCAGACACTCAGGGAGGTAGCAGCGCCCTGGGCTGGGAAAAAATCTTGTGAACTGCAGAGTGTCTGCTGGAGTGGGGTGGGCTGGTGGCATGGGGACGGGACAGTGAGTGACCTGGAGTTGTGAGGGAAGTCACAAGGATGACTTGGACGCTGCCACTCCCTGGTGGCCTGGAAAGTCCGCTTTCTCATCTGGGAGCTGGGAACAACCTTAGTAGTTACCCAAGGACCGGGAGGAGGAAGCATTTGTAGGGAAATGTCCAGAGGGGATGTTTACAGTGGGCCAGAGCTTCATTCTCACTGTCCGGCCTGGGGTGGGGCCTCGCCTGTGACATCGGCCGCGTCCTGACCCCTGGGGGTGTGGGTGTCAGCTGGCGAGGTAGACTTCCTTCCTCCACCTGCACCTGCACCTGTGGTTCTCTACTCTCCCCAGGTGGGGAGCACAGCCCCCTCTGAGCAGCTTCACAGCACCTTCTCTGTGGAGGAAAACTACCTTGCAGCCTTGGATTTGAACCCTGCTTCTGCCGTACTTGCTGCTATGTGACCTTGGGCCATTTCCTTCAGGCTGGCTGGGCCTTTGTGCTCTTAGGCGATAGACTGGGATGCTGCTGCTGGCCTTGCTGTGCCATTGTGACAATGGGAAGGCTCCGCACACAGTAGGCACTTTATAAATGGGTTTCCCTTTCCCTGAGTAAATGGCACCCTGGCGTGGCACCGGAAGCTGTAGCGGAGGGATGTCGGCACAGAGGGGGCCTGGTCAGTGCTGTGGGTGGGTCGGCAGCGGCTTCACTGGGAAGCTTTCAAGGCAACCACCGGACTCACCGGCTCGGTTCATGCTTCCCTTTACAAGTTCTCAGCCGGCCCCAACCCACCCCCCTTGTCATTTAAAAAGGAGATAAACAGTTCCAGGGCAAAGCCAGGAACCTGGCTGCTCTTGGCGCTCTCTAAAGTGCTTCTGAGCCTTTTGAGGCAGGATCTCAGCCCCCACCCTGGTGCCCCTCCAGCTTTAAAGGGTGCTGAGCACTTTACACCCCGTGAAACTGTGGCACATGGTGCCGGTCTCTGATGTGCCGTCCAGGCAGGCAGCAGGGTGTTGGCGCTCAGCCCCCTCTAGAGGAAATGAGAGCCTGATGGGGGCTGGAGGCTGAGGAAGTGGCACAGGAGCCAGCTTGGCTTCTAGAAAGTTTTCCCCAAACCGGGTCATCCCTTACCCTGCTCTCCCTTTCCCAACCTGTTCTGTGAGGTGAACTCCTGCCCACCCCTGGAAAGCCTTTCTTACCCGAGCCATGCATCACTACTGCTGCTGCTGCTGCTGCTCCTTTGACTGCTGCTCATGCAACTACTGCTGCTGCTGCTATGACTGCTGCTGCTATGACTGCTGCTGCTATGACTGCTGCTCCTGCAACTGCTGCTGCTGCTGCT